TTTACCAATTACCACAAAATTAACCTAAAATACTACTAAATTACTAATTGACAGTGGCGGAAATTAGAATCTTTACCTAATTACCCAAGACCAAGAGTCCAAGAAAGAACTCACACAGGCGCATAGCGGCACACGGCACAGTCGCAACTCGCAAGTCGCAGCGTCGGCAGGCAGCGATGAAGAAGAAGAGAAGAAAAAAGTGGCCTGCACTACTGAGTGAAGACCGAACTGAAGTCTCGCAAGTCGCAACTCGCACAACAGTACAGCACAGTCGCAACTCTTTCCGTGAATCCGTCGTTCGTTTTCGTTCAATGAATCAATCGTTCCCGACTTCCCAACGTTCGTTCAAGTCTTCAAGAGGGGCCTCTTACATCATGAGGTTGGGGGCCCAATTACACCTAATTAAAAAATACAAGTAAATTTTTTTTTGGGCTTTTCTATTTAGTTTTTGTTGGGGGCCCAGGACCCTAACCATATACAAGTGCATCCGCCCCTGTATGTTACGGAAAGAGGGGAGTGAGTAAAAATAGAAATATTTTTGGAATTTGACTTTTCTAGAAAACAATTAATCTTTATTTAATAAATAACAATAATTATTCCAAAATTAATGACCTAGGTTGTATTTTACAGATCTCACAAATGATTAAACATCTGAATACATATGTGTGTATGTATACCATGAACATCATCAATACAACTTTTTCTGGAAATATGGGAGTCCATTAAAAAACGTTTATGACACAAAATTCAATATAAATAAAAAAAATAAATCAAAATCCAATACAAATCAATGCCTAGAGCTCGTTTGTTTATCGAAACCTTAGAAAAAAAATCGAAGAACTATGGTTGCTTATCGGAATAGAAAATTTAAATCGAAACTCCATTGATTGAAACCCTATTTGGCTTGCAATCCAATTACATGTTTGCTCTCCATTGCTTTTATTACATTTTTTGTCTTTATGACTAAAATGACCAAAATGCCCTCTTAATTAACCTAAAAACTCTAACGTAGTTACTGACAGGGACTCAATGCGTTATAAATTACAAACCACAGGGTTGTAATTCATAATTATTTCAAAAAAGGGACTTGATACGTTATAAGTAAGGTTCTAAATGACGTGAGGTGTGGCGTGGTGACAAAATCAAGCTTCAAGCCTTACAAGTTATGACGAGACCATGACGTTTTTCAAGGCGTGTCCTAAGGCGGCATATATAATACACACACACACACACACACACTTGTGTATGCTAGTGTTTTAAATAATACTATAGAACAAATTAAGGGGCCGTTTACCGAATGCTTACCCGGATAAGTGCTTACCAAGTCACATTACCTTATCGGATGAGTATGATAAGAACCAAGAATCTTACCGGTAAGAGCGAGACAAGAATCAAGAGTTTTACCTGATAAGTGAGGGTGACGATTCTTACCACAGTAAGCATTTACCGGGTAAATTGTTGCATATGATGTCGTGTTGATAGACTAAAATCTTACCCGATAAGTTAATGATAGTGTTAAATTTTACCCATAAACGCTTATCGGGTAAGTGTTTGGTAAACGGCCCCTAAGTCATGTAAAGGAACAAAACTAAAAATATACTATTGATACCAAATATATAGAGATTTATAAAAATGATATCAAGAGTGCAAAATTGGGATTATATCTCTTGAATATCTACTCCCTACTTTATTCACGTTTTAAAGAATTCATGTTCGACTCTCTATGTACGAGAATGGGAACAAGTATTTACCTATTTAAGGTTTTAGTTTTTAAGTTCCCTTTTTTGTATATTTAAGTCATAAATCTCGTACATAATTATTTTTTTATCCCTCAAGTTATATATTAAAAATAAGCTCACGTCTTACAAAACAAAGCATCGTAACACGCCGTAACACGTCATAACGCTTTACAATGCAATTGAGCCTTAGAGTGGAGTCATAGATGTTAACGTGGCGGCAAACACAAGCCTTGACGCCATAAAACGACATAACAATTTATTTAAACCATGGTTATAGCATATAAATCACAAGAACGAAACATTTCATTTACTCTTTCTGATATCGTAATAAAGATAAAAATACGAAGATCATAGAGATAAAGATATATTTTTGAATTGTAACTCAAATTAAAATATAGTAAAAAAAACATAAACTTAACGGAGGGTAGTGGCGGACCTACTAAGAGAGTAGGGGTGCACGGGACTTCGCTCAATTGTCCCGTTGTAATGGAATTTTTTTACTGGATATGACTATGAAAGGTGTTCTTGTATTTTTTTTTAAATTTAAACATAAAACAGAAGTGCTGAGGTAGGTTTTTTTTTTTTTTTTTTTAAAGAGGGAATGGAACACCTTTTCACTTTATATATTTCAGTTACTAAAAAATAAAAACGAATATGCAACTAAAAGTATTGAACTTAAGACCTCAACTGTAAAATGATAAATACTTACCAATCAGTTAATCTTATTTTTTGAATTATAGTTGTCTTCACCTTACTTTTTTTTTTCCTGTTTCTGTTCTTCCAATTTATCCATTATTCTTAAAGTTGTTTTTGTCATATTTTAATGACGACAAATATTCAATATCTGAAATAAATGAAAAAAAATAAAACAAAATTAATCAAATTCAATATTTAATACTTTGTACGAGTGTTTATTTTTAAAAATCTTGAAAATCGGTTATTATTTATATAAGAAATTGATAAAATTATATTTTGCGGTTGCATCTACTCTCCATCACGGAATCAACGATAAAACCAAAAAAAAGTCCCCTAAGAATTTGGTCCAAAACATGTCAGGCATAAGACATAGTCTTGCATTTGACTCAAAAGTCAAAGTTTATTCCATTTGCATAAATGTAGCGTATCAAATCGACACAATTGAATTTTTTCCTAGTCAAACCGTGTTGACTTTTCCTAGGTTAAAATACGACTTTACAGGCCTTGGATTGACATTAGAGGTGGACACTTGAGTCCACGACAAATGAATTATATATCATACGAGTTTTAATAAAAACTATGATCTATGAATTGCATTTTTAACATTACGAAAGTTTCATGATAACCATGTTAGTATAAGCATTAACGAGCATGTATTAACTACAAGGTGGTGTCTGATTGGTTTGAGCTTGGCTCCAAATGTCAAAAGTACCAGGACGTCTCAGGTTCAAATCCAAGGAGGAATAAAAATCTCTTTGTGGCCACAGAGGTTCAAATGCGGTGACTTCGGGCTATATGCAAAGCAGGTGGTCGCTCTAGGGTTAATCGGCTCACGTAGCGGGTTGGATATTCAAGTTAATCAAAAACAAAAACGAGCATGTACAATACTGGTGTTTGAACTCGTTTATGTGAAGAATTAAACATCCGCAAACCGTGAAGTTACTACCAAGAATCCCCCCATTAGGATTGTAACATGTGGCGAAAATATTCCACTTTGGTAAATTGTTTGTGTTTCAATCATATATATGGTTGCACAAGTCGTTGTTGTATTTTCCATCAACGGTTTACCATTAGTGTCATTCACCAACATCTACTTATCAACCACTGTTTTAGAATGAAAACTAGATACATTTAAAGACTTACGTAAAAACATATACATAGCAACTAAAGTTGCGAAATGATTTCGACAAAACATACGCAAATTCCTTGTTGGTTTATTTAATTCCCTCATGTGGACCTTTCTAATGTTGATCTCCCCCTCTTTCATTTAGTTTAATAACAGCAAGTTCTTCCTGGAAATATTCTCCAGCATAAACGGCCGGGTACTTATCAGCAAGAGGCGATTGTGAAAAATGCCCCAGAGGCTTCATCACAGCATCAGATGCTACAACTGAAAACAACTACGACCAAAACAAACAACAAACCAAGTGAGATTTATTTTGAGTGGGATATATTGGGCTTGAAGTACGCTTTGATTTCAAACAGAGCAAGTTTAAAAGGTTTCACAAGTGAGATTTATTTTGCTATAAATGCGATGATATTGAAGTAAAAAAAATGCAATTGGTTTGATGCAGTGCTACTCACTGTTGAGGATACTCTCCAAAGGCTTCGCTTTTCTTCTTGTGCTACTTTAATTGCTTCGATTGTTTTTTTAGTTACCACAACTTCATGCAAACCAGCCATACAGTCTCCGGCAGTCACCCATTCTAACTGCAAATCAAAAACAATATATATCCCACATGAAACCAAGTTTCAACATTAGCTTGTAAGACTCAAGATTATAACCATAAACCATAAAGTTAGATCAACAAGATGCAAACTACAATGCTAGTAAGGAGACAAGAACTTTTTGCATAATAAGAACTAATGAACATTTTGGTTAGATTCATGCAAACCAGCCACACTGTCCTTTTTAGGCCAACTTTCTCTCTTTCACACAYTTTYYCCAAACTCGGGGTCATCAYAGAAACAGCTMMTCTACYTTTTGARTAGAGRTCAAGTCAACGTACATAATACCCGAAGGCGSATACTSTCAGACCCCACCTTCGGGTARGRTATATATACTAAGCTCGTTTGATTTGGTTATTCTTTGTTTAGTGTAAAGAAAGTGACTAAAAGCTAGACAAATCATATCAAATCCACCGCAYGTTAGATTTGGAATCARTGTTCGRCCTATGTAGTGGTAACTRGTTAAGCTAAAGTAACATGATCATTTTGAGTTTGTTTACAACATCWTGAACCAAGAKAATGTAATTAGATTTATTACCTGCTTTCCWGTCTGAAYAAGYAGACACCCTTCTGGAACCTTCACTTCTACTTTCTTCCCATTCCTTAGCCAAATGTATAGACCAGGGAATTTACTTCTGTAATGAATTGTTAGAAAGTTAAGGTCATAATGATATCCTGCAAAAATTGCACCCTCTTTGCCATGACTCCCAAGGTCACCCCCTGTTGGAGAAAGAAGATGTGGACCCTGCAAGTCACAAATCTCTGGTTTAATTTTGCAGTGAAATATTGACCAACAGTTTATTTAATTTGTCATCAAAAGATCAACTTCTTGGGATCACATATATTATGAAAGAACTACCAGAGATAAAAAGAAGCACACTAGTGCTGTTGGGATTTTACTAAGGGAATTGATCCCACATAGGAAGGAGAGGGAAAATTGGAGAGGTTTATAAGGCTAATTCCATAAGCCTTGTCAAACTTGAACCAAGACCYATGTATCAAGCTTGGTGCTTGGTATATACATTAATGGTCAAAGATAGGGCCTTGGGCCTTGGGGGTCTCGGGTCTCTTCACCGACAGTGGCMGAACCGTTGTTACAAACARCCATAACTGTTTCGTAAACGGTTTTCGAACAACGGCCCATAACTGCCGTGGACTGTATATATAGTCTTCGTCTTCCCTCCAATTTTTTAAAAGATAGCATCATAACTTTCAGAATTGCTTCATTCCTTCCCGGTTTTCTCCACCATATACGATCCATGAACACATAGGAATCTCGCCAGATTCACGTTCTCGTGCAAGAACGCGAATTAGATAGTTGTATCCTCTAAACGGACGCTCGGACTRYGCACGAGTAGGGGCGAAATTYTGTTTAAGGACACTGCAGAAGCAGGCCTCTATCTGTTCATCTTCGACTGTCGATTCCAAGTATGTTATCTTACTTTACATGATATGTATTTGCTATATGAACATGATTATATATATACACGTTTTTTCTTTTGGTGTATGTAAACATTCACTCTAGTATATGATAACTCCGGTATTATAACAAAGGTTCTAACAATCTTAAACAGAATTTTGTGATGGATCCTACATCCACATGATAAAGAACCACGTCGAGAAACCGGAAAAATTCAAAGGGACGGATTTTAGATGCTGGCAACAGAAGATGTTGTTTTATTTAACAACTCTTCACGTCGGAGCCCCGTAATCCACCCGTGAGTCTTGGACAAAATGTTCCTACTGCCGCTCAAATGAAACAATTTGAGAAAGCAGTGGAAACTTGGAAGAGCAACGAATATAATTGTAGAAATTATATTTTAAACGCTCTTGATGATTCCCTATATGATATCTATTCAACTTTCAACACTGCAAGAGAGATATGGGAATCATTAGAGCGTAAGTATAAAACCAAAGTTGCTTGTTCCAAACGTTTTGTGGTAGGAAAATTCCTACACTACAAAATGATTGACACTAAATCAATCGTCAAACAAGTTGAGGAACTCCAAGTCATCACTCACGAATTGGAAGTGGAAGGTATGGGCATCAACTCTAACTTTTTGGTAGGGTCTATAATTGAGAAGTTACCTCCGTCATGGAAGAACTTCAAATTATACCTGAAACATTTAACTGATGATATGAGCTTTGAACAACCTGTCCTCAAACTCCGAGTTGAGGAGGATAACAGGTTGTCTGAAAACGCCGATGCTAGTTACTTTGAGCCAAATGCAAATATGATGGCTGTAAGTAACTCTAAGGGGAAGTTTCAGAAATTTAAGGGCAAAGGCTTTGCCCCAAAACCATCATTTAAAAACTCTCTTGCCCCACAGAAAAAGAACTTCAAAAAACCGCACATCCTAAGTTGTTGGGTGTGTGGTAAGCCCGGTCATAGGGCAAAAGATTGTAGACACAAGAGAGATCATGGTGGTAGTGGTGGAAATGGTGGCGGAGGTGCTGGACCGTCTCACCAAGCCAACATGGCTGATTCTGAAACTCAATTCATCGGCATGGTGGAAGCAAATTTGGTGACTAACACTATCGATTGGTGGCTTGATACCGGAGCCACTAGACACATCTGTAATACCAAAGGCTCATTTGCTACATACCAAAAGGTTAGTGATGAAGAACCGATGTCTATGGGGAATGCGACGACGGCAAAGGTAGAAGGCAAAGGAAAAGTGATTCTGAAGCTCACTTCCGGAAAAGACCTCGTTCTTACAAACGTGCTACATGTACCTGACATTAGGAAGAATTTAATTTCTGGTCCTATGTTAAGTMATAAGGGATTCAAGATTRTGTTTGAATYCGATAARTTTGTAATTACTAAARGGGGTMTGTATGTTGGTAAGGGTTACCTCTCCGAGGGACTCTTCAAAATGAACACTGTACATAATGACAATGTAAATAGCAATAAAACAACGAGCACTGGCTCGACTTCTATGTACATGATTGAGTCATCTACCTTATGGCATTCTCGACTTGGGCATGTCAATTTTCGTTGTTTACAAAGAATGACAAAACTTGGCATGTTACCATCTTGTTCTATGAACAAAAAGACTAAGTGTGAAATATGCTTAGAATCTAAGTTCACTAGTCATCCACATAAATCCGTTGAGAAAAATAATGAAGTACTTGGTCTAATACATAGTGACTTGTGCGACTACAAAGCAACTCCAACACGTGGAGGGAAAAACTATTACATATCTTTCATTGATAATTGCAGTAAGTTTTGTTATGTGTATTTAATCAATACCAAAGATGAGGCTCTCAATATGTTTAAAACATACAAGGCCGAAGTTGAGAATCAACTCGACAAACGGATAAAAATCTTAAGATCCGATAGAGGAGGAGAGTATGAGTCAAATGACTTTGCTGAATTTTGCTCCTCTCATGGTATTGTGCATCAAACGACGGCCCCATATACTCCTCAACAAAACGGAGTAGCCGAAAGGAAGAATCGAACATTGAAGAACATGATCAATTCAATGTTGATAACCTCAGGGGCACCACATAGCTTATGGAGCGAGGCATGCCTAACTGCAAACATGATATTAAATAGAATCCCTCACAAAAACAGTAATAAATGTCCTTATGAATTATGGAAAGGAAGATTGCCCACCTTCAAAAGAATGAAAGTGTGGGGTTGTTTGGCCAAGGTTCAAGTCCCTTTGCCTAAACGAACAAAACTTGGACCGAAAACCATAGATTGTATATATCTTGGTCCCGCCAAGAATAATGCAGCCTATAGGTTCCTTGTATATAAGTCTTACGTTGATGATGTCAACGTCAATACCATCATAGAATCTGCAGAAGCATAATTCTTTGAAGATATATTTCCTTATAGGGATAAAGAGAGACAATTCTCCGATCCAAGGAAAAGAGCTTGTGAGGAAACAAGTCATGATAGCTTAGACCAAAGTGATCAATACATTCATGATGAAACTTCTAAGGCTCAACAAGAGTTAGAACCTAGAAGAAGTAAACGAGGAAGAATCGCCAAAAACCTTGGTCCCGATTTTATGACCTTCAATGTTGAAGGTGAACCTCAATCCTACAAAGCTGCCATGGAGTCATTAGAGGCACCTTATTGGAAAGAGGCAATTAATAGTGAGATAGATTCAATCATTCAAAATAATACTTGGAAATTGGTTGATCTACCTCCGGGACACAAACCTATTGGCCATAAATGGATATTTAAAAGAAAACTTAGACCCGATGGTACCATAGAAAAGTACAAGGCTAGGCTTGTAGCTAAGGGGTATCATCAAAAAGAGGGCCAAGACTTCTTTGACACTTATTCGCCAGTTACAAGAATCACGTCCATAAGGACTTTAATAGCTATTGCAACAATTCACAATTTGGAAATTCACCAAATGGATGTGAAAACTGCTTTCTTAAATGGCGAATTAGATGAAGAGATCTATATGCAACAACCTGAAGGATTTGTTGTTAAAGACCAAGAACACAAGGTATGCAAATTGGTGAAGTCCCTCTATGGACTTAAGCAATCACCAAAGCAATGGCATGAAAAGTTTGACAACACCTTGTTATCAAACAACTTCCAAATCAATGAATGTGATAAATGTGTATATGTTAAACAATGCAAAAATGCTTATGTTATTATATGTTTATATGTCGATGATATGCTTATCATGGGAACCAACTTGGATATTATCAACCAAACCAAGAAGATGCTACATTCCTCATTCGATATGAAAGATATGGGAATAGCTGATGTTATCCTTGGTATTAGAATTCAAAGAAATTCTAATGGTTACATATTGTCTCAATCACATTACATTGAGAAAGTTCTCCGAAAGTTCGGACACTATGACGATAGACCGGTGGTCACTCCATTTGATCCATCCAGTCAATTAAAAAAATCAAGGAGATAGTGTGTCCCAACTGCAATATACTCAAGTGCTTGGCAGCTTGATGTATATTATGAATTGTATTAGACCCAATCTAGCATACTCAGTGAGTAGACTTAGTCGCTATTCACACAATCCAGGTAAAGATCATTGGTTTGCACTAGTGAGAGTGCTCTGATATCTCAAACACACCATGAATTATGGGTTGAACTATACAAAATATCCTCCTGTTCTGGAAGGTTATTGTGACGCCAATTGGATTTCCAACAGTTCAGAAAGTAAGTCCACAAGTGGATATGTCTTTACACTTGGTGGAGCAGCAATATCATGGAAATCATCAAAACAAACGGTAAATACACGCTCAACAAAGGAAGCAGAATTTGTGGCTTTAGACAAAGCAGCGGAAGAAGCTGAATGGCTTAGAAGCTTCCTAGAAGGTATACCATTGTGGCCGAAGCCTGTCAACGCTATTTGTATACATTGTGACAGTATGGCCGCTCTAACAAGAGCAAAGAATCAGATATACAATGGTAAATCAAGACATATAAGGCGTCATCACAACACTATACGTGATTTGCTAAAGAATGGAATCATATCCATTGATTATGTAAAGTCAAAGGAAAACATAGCCGATCCTTTGACGAAAGGGCTAAATAGAGAGCAAGTCATATACACATCGAGGGGAATGGGCTTAAAGCCAATTCAATGAGTTATAAACCGGCAGAAACCTAACCTAGCAGCATTGGAGATCCCATGGTCTAGGTTCAATAGGCCAACTAGTTGGGGAAAACTCAAGACGCAATCTAACACACAGGTATGCTCATTCCTATGATATTTTTGTGTGTTTCCGTTGACGATTAAGGGTTGAATAGTACTTCTTAATAATGCTAATAGCTTTGACAGTGGGACAATACGGAATGTTCTTGATTAGCATTACCTATGTGAGATTGATGTTTGGTCGCATCTATGAGGACCGAGATGGCTACGTTCTCTAAGAATCTCATGAAGAAAGGATACGTTCATGATCGAAATGAACACAACCGTAAGAGTTACACTATGTGATAGATATGATGTATGTGATACTTGTTGTCTAGATTTACTAAACAAAGTGGTTAGTTCAAGACATTGTTCACTACCCACAAAGTGGATCCAATTTGTACTCACTATGAAAGGTTCAAGTCCAAATGACACCTTTTCAAATGTATGTCATATCTTACTTCATGGAATAGAACAATATGTCCTTTGTATTACTTATTTTCTATTCAAATGTGGG